ATAGCCTTTGTTTGGGGGTTTCATGAAGAAACAAACTAGGAAACGATGAGGGAAGGCAGGAAAAATGAAAATATATTCCATAATACATTGATTTTTTTTTTTTTGAAGTGTGCTGATGATGGAGACAAATGTTTCCATTTCTGGTAAAGGCTTGAGTGGGCTGAAGTGAGCTGTTCATGTGGGCAAACTTGACTTTTTAGTCACCAAGCAAGACTCTTTAAAAAGAAAGGGATGTAAAACAACCCTCCAGCCCACAGGCCACTTACACGCAGCCACCTCCTCTTGTCTCCTTGACTGCCTCCCAGGCTGCTGGGCCCTACCACTAACAGCAGGTACAGTTCCCCTGAAAAAACGAAATTTAGAGTGCAGTCATGCTACCACTGACATGCCTGTAAGATTAGAACTAGGTGCTGGGGAGGAAAAAGGAATGAAGGAGAGAGAGACAAAGAAGAGGAAGAGAAGGAAAGAAAGGACCACGAGAGGATGAGAGCAGGAAAGTGACAGTGATGACATATCTGGGACACACCATGAAGGTTATTCATTATTTATCTGAAATTCACTTTTCCCTGGGTGCCTCATATTCTATGCAGCAATCCCAAATATATTCCTGACAAAAGGCTGATTAATCATTTTCCGCATATCATCTCATTTAAGCTCTACAAAACTCCTGCCCTTCGTTTCTAGATAAGGAAACTGAGACTCCAAGGCGCAAAAAGACTGTCCCAAATTCACCTCGCTGGTGAGGAATGGAGCCAGGCTAAGACCCCAGGCAGGGCATAGGCCCCGGAACCCTAGAAAAAGAAAGAAAACAAGCAAGGAAAGCAAGTCCCCCTTGGGATATGTTGAAATAATTTAACAGAAGCTTTAGCTCAAAGAAAGCGAAAGCAATTAGCAAGACCCATGGTCTCTGAAGATTGTCAACAACTACCTCATTGTTGGTGAGGAACTTCCTTTGGGGAGCTGTGTTTAAATTGTAATCCCAGATCTTTGACCGAGGAGACCCCTTCTCTACCTCCTGTTGGTGCAGTAAATTAAAAATCTTTCTATATTCTGAGAAGGGAAATGAAGCTTTTCTGGTAAATTTCATAAAAATGTGCCCTGGAGATGAAAAATTGCATTCAAACCACAGCCATCTATGTTAATTATGAGGAAGGATGGTGCGATTAGGGAAAAAAATATGAATTATGAAATATTTCTGGGTGCTGCATGCTGGGAGAGACTCTGATGAACCAGAACATAGGTGTGAGGCTGTGGGGCTGGGCTGCTGCTGGTGGGCAGTGGGCGGGTGGCAGGCAGCCAGCATGCTGAGCTTGGGCGACAAGGCCCCTGAGCACAATTTATGAGGAATAAAGGACAAGCAGTGGTTAGTCTGGAAATAGACAGGCAAGGGAAAATACAACAGTCCCCGGATTACATAAAATGCTATCAGTTATAATTTCTAATGCCTAGAATTCTGTTACTGTGAAGGATGGACCCAGGATGGTAAGTAAAGTTTTATAGGGGTAGGTTTCTACTCTGTATGGAAGATCATCTTCTAGAAACCAGAGTGGTCTAATGGTAGAATGGGTGATCCCTGGAAATAGTTCTATTGTCTTTTTTGCAAGCCTTCAAGCTACATCTGGATGCCAGGCCATCCGGGATGTTACAGGGAAGGTTTCTGAGTTGAGTGAACAGCTTGGCCAGGTACACACTTGTGTATATACACACTTACACAAATATGCCTGTATTTAAGAGATTATGCTCTGATTGCAAATAAAACCCAAAAGAGGTGAAGTTATGTCTCAAGTCTGTCATTTTGGCACTCCAAACTCATAGGGATTTGGCACATTCACAGGTCCCCCAAGGATGATGGTGACAATAATTCTACGACTCTCTATTCCAGACTTTAAATATATCTACTTGCAGATAATACATCATGGGCTCTCTGATATATAATCAAGATTGCCTGCTCACACTCTAATGAAACACACACACACACACACACACTTTTTCTCATCCTTAAAAGAGAAAGAAAGAGCCACCCACGTTTTCACCTTTATGAGAACAATTAGATTTTCTTCCAATCCTAGAAACCTCATTTTTGATCTGAGCATCCCATGACCAAGAAAGGATCCTCTCTCTGCGTGCTTATGGCAAACCACAAAACATCAGCCAACAGGACCACACATGCCTATATTAAATTCTCCTTCCATTAGTGGCGGGATCTATAGCACTCTCCTTGAAGGAAGAAAAAATATTAAAATGCTTCATTTCTTTCCCAGGATATATAAATTAGTATAGTTATTCTCTCAGAATCAAAACATGTTTAGATGGATTCAGGACACTCCATTTGAAATATCCGTTACCCTCAAATCAAATTTTCACTGCCGTTGAGTGGCAAGGGGCGATGCCCTGGGATCAGCGAGCTGCTAAGATTCCTTCTGCTCGAGTGTTTAATTTCATTTTACTTTCCACAAATAAGCATGCTTGGAGCCGCTGCCTTTCCTTCCTCTAGAGTAATCGAAAAATTTAATTCACATTAAGCCAGAGAGGATGGTGTTTCTCCCTAAGGTCACTCAAGGCAAACATTTTAAAGCTCTAACAGCCCATCAGTCAGAGATGCATGCCTCATCCTGTCCTGATGAGGTGCCTCCTGGAGCCAAACAAAGCCTTCTGCCCAGCTCACACCATCCTCCGCACCCCACCCACTCGGCCCCCGGCTGAAGGTCACCCAGAGAGGCCAGTAGGTACATCTCTAGATTCAGTGCCCACTCTGATCCCTAAGATGCCTACTGTATACACCCCAGGCACCCGCTCCATTTGGAGATGCAGGAGTTTCTAGGCTTCATTTCTGCTTAAAAGATTAATGCGTGTGGGGACCAAAAGCCTCTTTGCTGCTGCAATTTGAACTGCAAGCAGCTTACCCAAGAATGAGTATTTCCAGGGCTAGGTTACGCTTCAAATCTTATCATCCCTTCCCTAAAAACTAATAGCATTTTGCACTTATACGATGCCTTTCATCAGCTATAGGTGATACACCACACATTGCTTTAAGTCAGAGATGAGTAAATCATTAATTGATCATAATGCCCCAATAAGCACCTTCAGATTGTCATGCATAAGGATTCAATCAAGCACAATGGCATCTATGCATATTTCTCTTTTATTCAGGTATAAAACGTGTGCAGTGACTTAGAAACAACAAATTTCTCATGAACACAACCAAAACATAGCACCAAAATGACCTGGAACTACAAAGATGGGAGAAATTCTGCTCACGGATCTCAGAACTTTTTATCCGAAAGACTCGCAGAGCTTCCAAGGAAGAAGAAAAAGAGTAAGAAGCACCTGAGTATTCTTACTCAGAAAAACACCTAAGAAGCTAGATTCCCCTTCTGTCAGCATAGAACAGTACTTCTTAGGCGCTTCTCCTTCAAAGGTAATACATATCTTTTTTTTTTTTTTTAATGGAAGAAAGGTAGTGTAGTAAAACAACGTGAGATCTTGCAACAATTCCACCCGATTCAGCTCCTGGATTTTTCTTTATTTCAATTGTGGAGTTAGAATTTCTGCTGCAAAAGGGAATCATGCGGCCACAGGGGTGGAATCAGAGTTATCAGAGGTGAGTCCACCTGGAAGGAGGAGGCTGGAGGAACATTTAGAAATGTCCAGTGTGTGCAGTTATTCCCCCCTGGTCTCATGTCTGGCTCAGATAGAGAGAAGGTGCAAGTAGAATTACAATGCTTTACATTTGAAAACCATCTCTGCCAAATTTGAGTCAAGTAAGGTGACTTTGTTGGTTATCCTCCATCTGAGCCGGATTCATTCTCTACTATTCTCAGTTTGTGTAAGCTTTGCTGCTTCAGGTGGCATCACAACAGTGGTAACAACATAGCAGACACCACAGGCCCTTCCGCATTTCACAGAAATCCCAAATCCCTCCAAATCCCTTCCTCCAAACTTCCCACTGGGCATGGCTGCCATAGGCACCCTTGCCCCCTCCCAGTGGCCACCATGTCCCCATGGTTCCAACTTTGGGCTGGCTCTCCAGAAGCATCAGCTACTGCTCCTCTGCTCCTCTGGGTCTCCTGCCCATCCTCACCCCCTTTTCCATTCTACTCCAGGTTGGGGGCGGGGGGAAGCAGAGCAGGAGATTTCTTCTCCTCGCCCATGGGCAATTCTATTACTGGACTGTAAACACCAGTGCCCTCAATCCTCAGTCTTCAGGACTTGATGGAGACCCTGGATGCTGTCATTTCCTTTGGCTTCTTGTTTACCATGGCCATGTTCACTATCACATCCCCTCTTCTAGAGTTTTGGGGCTGTTGCCTAACCTGGGATTGGACTTTAGACGCTCCAGAATTAAGACCTCTTTATTTGCCAATGACAGAATTCCACATAATTAATTTAAACAAAAATGGAAATTTGCCATATTATATTTAATTTTTAATAGATGATCTCACTAAACCACTCAAAGACACAGAGGAGCCTCAGGAACAGACCAAAACTAGATTGCCTTTATGACTGCTTCCCTGAGTTTTTCCCCTCCATGCTTTCAAATGCATCCTCATTACCCTTTGTCACTGCAGCTCAGCATTCTAGGCCACCCACAGTTCCCTCTGAGGCTGGAATATCTAAGTCCCAGTTCCAGATTCCCAGGGGAACCATGTCTGACCCAGTGTGGGCCCAAATGACATCATATAATATGGTTGTCATGGGAGTCCGCAGAGTGGAGAGACAGTTTCCAGAAAAAGCAGAAACGAAGTAAGAAGCTCCTTAAGTGTATAAAACAGGTCCTCCAGTGTTGGCGTCCAACTGAATTTACGTATTTCAACTCTCTCTCCCAGCTGGTAGAGCTCCTTCTTCACATATCAAATACCATGGCGTGGAGGTCATTGCTACTGGACAGAAGCCAGACACTTGATCAAGGAGAAAAAGACCTTGGCCCAAGAGTCCAGTCAGTGTGGTTCTCATGAAAGAGCCCTACCCCCTTCCCCAATTCTAACAGCTCTTCCCCACCCCTAGATGGCAGTTATTCCATGATGGGCTCACAGCAGGCTGCACAGCACTCTTTGCAGATGGCCCCACAGCACTCAGGGATCAGGCCAGTCTGCTTTGGATGTCGATTCCATCACTAACCAGCTGAGGGTTTTCAGGTCAGCCATCTGCCCTTTGTGAATCTCAGCTTCACCATCTGCAAATGGACACAGTAATACCCATTTCAAAAAGTTGAAATGAGCTAACACGTGCCAGGCAGGTGAAACAGTGCCTGGTAAACTTTCAGTGCTCAGAAGAAGATTCCTTTCTTTACTGTTATTATTATTATTGCTGTCATTAATATTAACCTTCACAATAGAATCTACAAACGCTGTTTTAAAAGAGGCAAATGCAGCGGTTTGGCGCCTGCCTTTGGCCCAGGGCGCGATCCTGGAGACCTGGGATCGAATCCCACATCGGGCTCCCAGTGCATGGAGCCTGCTTCTCCCTCTGCCTATGTCTCTGCCTCTCTCTCTCTCTCTCTGTGAGTATCAAAATAAATAAAAATTAAAAAAAAAATAAAAGAGGCAAATGTCTAAAACTAATATAGCACTCTATGTTAATTAACTGGAATTCAAATAAATTTTAAAAAATAAAATAGGCAAACAATTTTCAGTTGATTTCAGAACTACAGACCCTACACCATGTTCCAAAAATACTCCAAGGCACATTCTAATAAAGCAAATGGCTATAAAGCAAAATGAAAGCAAATGGTAAATTTTAAGGACTTTTTGTCTTGTTGTTTTTTGTTTGTATTCTCTGATACCTGCACAGAATGTCATCTCTTAATCAGAACTGTAAGAATTAAATAAGAAAAAATGCATAAAGGACTAAGGACTGGGCCTAGACATCGAACATGTTTAACATGTGATGGCTGTTGCTTTATTACTATAATTAGCATGATTACGATTACTATTTTATTATTAGTCCCAAGAGGAAAATTGCTTAAATAATTATTGGCAAATCCTTTAAGGTGATCATTTCACTGACTACTGGGCAAAGCCATGAAGTTTCCATTCCTGGTTAAGTTTAAAATTAACATGTATAGATATAGACATAGATATAGATACAGAAGTAGATAGAAATCAATATATAAAAACTCAAAGTAACTTTTAAAAACTATTTTTTAACTCTAAAGAGAATCATTGATTAGCACGGCAAAGAGAAGAATAGCTGCTCTGGGAAGCCGGCAGTGTTTTGGTGGTTATTGCTGGATGCAGCTCCTCCTAAGCTCCACACTGCTCTCTTGCTCAGGCAGCTTCCTAGCTTCTGCTGCAAATAAGTCCCTTAAAACCTCAAGGCAAAATACACAACTTGCCACCGCACCTTGAACAACTTATCTCGGGTGTCAGTGACCTAGATTCCCCATAACACGAAAGGGAGGAATGAATGTTGGCTTCTGAAACCTGGGATGCCTCCCTCTGCTCTGGGCTTCCACCTGGATCTCCAGGCTGATTTGGAATGAGTTCTAAGGTGATTACTGGTTAGGAATTCTGAAAGGGGAGGTAGCTAGTATGAACACCAGTGTAAAAATAATTCCTTCTACAAGGAAAATCTAGGGGCTGGCAGCAGCCATTACAGTTCTTGGCCAGGACCTGCAAAAGATATCTTCTTTAGGCAGGCACGAGGGAAGTGCTGCCTCTCTGGTGCTGCTAGATTTGTTCTCTGTGCTTGGTATTGATATTTCCTTCAGCAGAATAGCAAAGGCATGAGAGCATGAAGGAGAGGTGGGTTCCCTTCCCTCACCACGTGCTCCGAGTGATGAGTCAAAGCAACTCTGAGCCGCTCCTTAACTTCCACATGCTAAGAGAAAGTGAGCTGGGGACTCTCCTCTAGTTAGAGATAGCTGTGAGAACAGGAGCACGCTATGAGGCTCTCTGAGAGACGTGCATTCCCCTACCTCTTATCACTCTGTCTCCAGTCACATACAGCCTGTTCAGGGTGTTAATAACCATATGACAATCATCCACATACAATTTCAGTGTGGATCAAAGCGTACTATATTTAGAGTTGATTTTTCTCCCAAAGCAGAAAGTTGTTGTCTCCTTTATTTCCTTAAGTTTCTCAAGAATTCTGCAAATTGTTAAATGTGTTTATTAAAAGATGTTTTTCACATCAGAGAGACTGATCCATACAAAGCAAAGGTTTGGGCTGGGCAGGTCCAGTGATTCTAGCTCTTTGATGGGGAGAAATTGCTTCTGTGCAAGAACTAATACCCACCTGGTTTCAAACCTCAGCCGCTAGCAAATATGTCATAGCAAAAGACATTTTCTGTTTCTCTGACAGATTGGCCCAGGGCTGAAATTTAATCTAATATATCAAAAGTGGTAGGTGGGAGGGGGAGAGAAAGGCAGAGAAACACTGACTCCCCAGATTTTTATAGTAGCTTGAGACACTACTGTGTGGGTATTGGTTGATACCAACGGTGTTGATAAGCCGTAAAAGTAAACACTGAAAGATGAAACAATAAAGAACTTACACAAATCTCTACATCTGTATTTTTTAAATGATAAGATATTCACACCAAAAGATGTGGATGTTCGCATGCAAAAAAAAAAAAAAGAATCTACACAGACTTTACATTCTTCACAACAATTAACTCAAAATAGATCACAGATCTAAATGTAAAATGCAAAACTATGAAACTCTTAGAAGATAGAGGAGAAAATCTAGACGACCTTGAGTATGACAATGACTTTTTAGATACAACACCAGAAGCACAATCCGTAAAAGAAATAATTGATGAACTGGACGTCATTAAAATTTTAAACTTCTGCTCTGGAAAAGACACTGTGAAGAGAATGAGAAAGAAAGCCACAGACTGGGAAAAAATATTTGCAAAAGACATATCCAATAAAGCACTGGTATCCAAAATATACAAAGAACTCTTTAAACTCAACAATAAGAAAACAAAAAATCCAATTGAAAAAATAGGCAAAAGTACTAAACAGACACTTCACCAGAAAAGGTATACAGATGGCAAATAACATATGAAGAGATGTTCCACATCCTATGGCATCAGGGAAATGCAAATTAAGCAACAATAAGTTAGCTCCACACTCTAAAATCCAGAACACAAGCAGCAGTAGATGCTGGTGGGAATGCAAAAATGGTACCGCCTCAGTGGGACAGTTTCTTACAAAACAAAACATTTATCTAAATGAATTGAAAACATAAGTTTTCAATTTTGTCCACACAAAACCTGCACATGATGGTTTAGAGCAGCTTTATTCATAATTGCCAAAACTTGGAAGCAACCTAGAGGTCCTTCAGTAAGTGAATGGATAAATAAACTGTGAGACATCCTGACAATGGAATTTTATTTATCACTATAAAGAAATGAGCTATCAAGCCATGAAAAGACATGAAGGAACCTTAACTGCATGATACTAAGTGAAAGAAGCTGATCTGAAAAGGCTACACGCTGTATGATTCCAACTATATGACATTCTGAAAAAGGCAAAACTATGGAAACTATAAAAAGATCAGTGGACACCAGTGGTTAGGGAGAAGGGAGGTATGAATAGATGGAGCAGAGAAGATTTTTAGGGCAGTGAAACTATTCTGTATGATTCTGTAAAACTGGATGCATATCATTACATTGTCCAAACCCTTAGAATGCACAACACCAGGAATTAATCTGAGATAAACTATGGTCTTTGGGTGATTATGGTGCATCGATGCCGGCAAGTCTGTTATAACAAACATCCCACTCTCCCGTGGGATGTTGATGACAGGGGAGGCTATGCATGTGTGGGGACAGGAGGCACATGGGAATCTCTGTATGTTTTTCTCACTTCTGCTGTGAAGCTAATACTGTGAACTCCATTCAAAAGGGAAAAAAAGATGATGTGACATTATGATGAAGTCCCCTTCCATAGGAGGGACAAAGAAAGATGTAAAAAAGTGGAAGACTCACCAGTCAGATTTTAAAATGCAACTTGTTGCTGTTACAGAGCTGTAATATCACAAACCCATTGCACAAACCCTTGTATTTTTTGGTTGGCCCCATGTTGCCATTTCTTCATTGTTCCTTTTTCTTTCTGCTCTTGCCTATTCTCTCTTTGCTTCATTTTCCGGTTTGTACTTGTTTCCTGCTGAGGGGACACATCTGCATTCCAAATCCCCACAACCTTTCTAGTTGGCTGCCCTTCAGGCCCTGATTTCTGGACTCTACACCCCTCTTACCATACTATAATTAGGAAGCTTAGTCATTTTTCTCTGACTCTGAGGCAGGCACCCCACCACTTGGATAGGGTGGAATGACACCAGAGCCAGCATCCTTACTAAAGCCAGGAAACATTCTTTACATACACACAAATCATCAGAGAGCATTCCAGAAAAAAAAAATAGCAATTTTCGAAAAGAATATCTACCCTGCACTTGTCTTTAAATATGGCTACCATCCATAGATTGATTTCCCTAATTAATTGTGTAAATCTTATTGAGGCACTGAGGACATGGTTGCTAACCTCAGGGAGTAGAGGACTGTCTTTTAAGATAGACTTACATGCAGATAATTACAGTCTGATGTGCTTAGTTCAACTTTGGAGGATTATTCAGAGAAGGATGATTATGGAGAACATAATCGACATTGCACAGAAGCAATAAAAAAAGAGAGAAAGGCTTCCCAGAGGAGGGGACATTGAAGAGAAATCTAAAAGGAAACACAAGTATTTTCCAGGCCACTGGGGCAGGGCAAATACAGTTCAGCTGAGAATACAGCCAAGGTTCCAAAGCAAGAAAGCACATGCAGTGCTAGGAAAGGTACCAGTATTTCTGAAGCAAGGAGGCAGGAGAGAGGGTGGCAGAGGATGAGGCTGAGTAGGGAGGGGTCAGATAAGGAAAGGCCTTTGAGTCATGCTAAGGGAATTGGCCATCACTCTGGAAGAAGCCTTTCAAGGATGTAAGCAGGAGGTTCCACATAAGCAACTAGAGGAAGGGACACTAGGAGGCCACCTCAAAAAGCCAAACAAGGGACAAGTGAACAGCAGCAAGTGAGGGAAAGCAAGAAGCTAAGACACACCAAGGAATCTGGCTCAAAGGGCTAATTATGTGGCTGAGATTTTCACTAAGATCTAGACTACAGGGGCAGAGAGAATGTGGACTTCATAAGGAGATGAGAGATGCCCATTGCTGGCATAGGGACATATTCACTAGATGAAGGAGTAGGTGTTGAATGAGTGAAATGTCAAGAGTAACAGTTTGGTTAAAAACACTGCTCCTCTGTAGTGTTGTGTCTGTATGGCCTGAATGTAGGAACAACCCAATCTGCAGAATCAATAGACTGATAGCCAACCACCAATGTTATATCTCAATCCCAGGTACCGTCGTTATCTCAGAACTCAACCTCTTCTCCCTCTCCACTATCAAAAGTCATGGCCTCATCCTCAGCTTGAGCAGGAGGCCATAACCACTGCAGCTCACAGGACTCCACGTCAGGTCTGAGAACCATGTGCAAGAAGTGCCTTCTCTCTCTCAGGGCCTCACTTTTATTAAAGAAACAATAATGCCCACCTATCCCACTGCATACCCTCACTTTAGGGGCATCTTGAGGAGGTTAAGTTATCTTATACAGTTGGCCACATCGTGTGCTGTAAAAGTAACTGTGTTGATAAAAGCCCACTTATGAGATACTACCCCCTAAGAACTTAGCCTTATATTCCAAATGAGGTTGGTGAAACTCATTCCTTAATGTCTTTTTCTTGCTAGGAGTGCATAATCTCAGCTTTTCTCTCCAAACCGCTTCTGTATATGCCACGATGGCCAATACTTAAGGTTGCTGTTGTTATAAATTGGTAACAATTGTTGAGCACTTGTTGCTCGGCAAGCACTACGTTGGCATACCTTATTTCATACCACCCTTACAACAGCATCACAGCAACATTAAATATCTCCACCTTTCAATTGAGGAAATGGAACCTCCAAACTGTTAAGTAAAATGCTGATGGTCCCACACAACGTAAATAGAGCAGCCCGGATTTACACCAGGTTGTCTAAATCTCCCAGCCGTGAAGCTACAGTTGAGTCAAATGGGGAATCACTATTTCAGAACTGCCCAAGGAAAAGAATGTCACTTCACTGGGGAAAGCCTAAAGGTATGTGCTAAGTTGTCCTATTCCCTGCAGCTGCCTGAAGTCTCCCTGCTTAGAAATGCATAGAACATTGAAGCAGAGAGGCAGAGTTTCAAAGAGCCTTCAGATGTGCCATGTACCTTTTAGACAAGTGCAGTTTTTACTTTTAATACGATAACAAGGACCCCTTCACCTAGAACTTTCTCCAGGGCTCACATTTCAAAGTGTGTGCATGCATGCATGTGAGCATGTTGTATGTGTGTGTGTGTGTGTGCACGTGCTCACATGGGTACACCCACATGATGCAATACCACTCCCAAGTTTTTATCTGCAATGAGCTGCCATTAAATGCAAGCTGACAGGAGAGGAAAGGAGGCATAATCACTAGCTATCTACGCAATTTTTAAACTGCTCAAATGGGGCCATCATCTGAACTGAGATTAATCCTGGCACCCAAAAGCTACAAAGGAAAGTTTCTTTCCTCAGGAGACACCTTAATCGAGACCCTGACCAATGTCAGATAGAAATCTCCCCAGAATATTAGAAAACCATTGCAGTGTGAAGCCTTGATTTGGCCAAATGCAGGGCCCCTCTATTCCCAGCCCCCATTTTGAAAACTGGCATTTGTCTTCTGATTTTCTTTCCCTTTCAATTTGTTTTCCTGTCAAAGGGATCTCTCCCCCTTCTCCTACTCTACAGCACCACCTGATTGAATTCCGTTCAGGGCTCCTGGTGGTCCTGTTCTCCATGCCGACTTGATGGAGCCCTTTTGCCTGTTTCATACCATCCATCTCTCTGGGCAACTGAAATTGTGCTGCAAAATGTAGCGCTACTTCGTGGGACCTCATTAACACCAGCTCCAAGGGAATGGACTTCAACAGAGGAGGCATTAAGCATCTAAACAGCACACTGAGACAGCAAAGACTTCAAGAGCATGGCAGACAAGTGATGGAAATCGAGTCACTGATATAAAAAGCTGGGCGGTACACAGAGGGCCAAGGGAAGCTTTTCAATTTATATTTCACGTTGATATCACATTGGTTCCCACACAGCAAGGATAGGTGCTGAAAACAGAGAGATGGCAGAGAGTTTGTGTGCCTCCTGAGGTCCCTCGGTTCACCTGAACTTAAGCCAAAAATAATATCATAAAACTAATTTAGCCATCACACCAATAGGGCTCCTCAGCCATGAGGCAGACTGGATAATTATATGTTTCCTGCAATTTCTGACACTCGGCTAGTTTCAGCAAATGGCACTTCTAAATATATACTGCTTTGTCACAGCTACCTGTCTACCTCAGTTTTTCTTCAAGGAAAAGAAGCAGAACAGAAAGTTAATTATGAAGATGGGGAATCCAAGTCATTTCAGTCTAATTGAATTAATAGACCCCAAAGTCAAATGCCCTTGGTGATCAAGGACACAAGATAATCAAGCCACAGGCTCTTAAAGTCCATGCAGGCAGTAGCAGAGCAGTTGCTTTACCCCTGGAACTACCCCTGGAGATTGGACTGAAGATCCCCTGCAGTTCTGTCCTGTGTGATCATTGGTGCTGTGTCAGCCACTACCTTGTCCTATCCAATTGTTTGTGTTTCTCTATTATTTGTATGAAGCCAGAAACATTTCCCCAACCTTTTTTGTTGCCTGTCCATTGGTTCCCCTGAGTCCTTATGGAAAAATACCCAATTTTCTCAAGTGTCTTCCAAAATAAATTTTGATTTACACATCTATTCACACACACCACAAACAACTAACAGAAGCCAACAGTTCTCATTTGGCAGAAGGTGATGTGGCTAAGATATGGGCAGGGCTAAACCTTGGATGCCAAAGTCTCTGGCCAGTCTCAGGTCTTCCCTACTCAACGATGGATGACCAGCAGAGTTTGCCCCACCTTCCACACTAAACAAAAGTAGGTTACACAGAACCACAGAGGAAAACAAACAATGGGAGTATTTAACATTATTTTCCTGTCCAATGACCTAAGTAGAAAAAAATGTGTGAGGGGCACCTGGGTGGCTCAGTGGTTGAGCATCTGCCTTTGGCTCAGGTCGTGATCCTGGGTCCTGGGATTGAGGTCCGCATTGGGCTCCGCATGAGAGGCCTGCTTCTCCCTCTGCCTGTGTCTCTGCCTCTCTCTGTGTGTCTTTCATGAATAAATAAATAAAATCTTTAAAAAAAGAAAAAAATGTGTGATGAACTATGCTTCTAAATTATAGGTGACCCATAAATGACATTAACTGAGAACTAATATGCTAACTGCTGTTCTAGGGTGCTAATTTCTTTTTTTTTTAATAAATTAATTTTTATTGGTGTTCAATTTACCAACATACAGAATAACACCCAGTGCTCATCCCGTCAAGTGTCCCCCTCCGTGCCCGTCACCCATTCACTCCCACCCCCCGCCCTCCTCCCCTTCCACCACCCCTAGTTCATTTCCCAGAGTTAGAAGTCTTTATGTTCTGTCTCCCTTTCTGATATCTCCCACACATTTCTTCTCCCTTCCCTTATATTCCCCTTCACTATTATTCATATTCCCCAAATGAATGAGAACATACAATGTTTGTCCTTCTCTGATTAACTTACTTCACTCAGCATAATATCCTCCAGTTCCATCCACGTTGAAGCAAATGGTGGGTATTTGTCGTTTCTAATGGCTGAGTAATATTCCATTGTATACATAAACCACATCTTCTTTATCCATTCATCTTTCGATGGTAGGGTGCTAATTTCTTAATTCATTAATCCATTGCAGCAACTCTATGAAGAAGGAAATGGTATTAGCCCCATTGTGTAGTTGGGAAAACTAAGATACAGAGAAGTTAAACTGACTGAGGTCAAACAGCTGGTGAATGGAAGAGGCAGGATTTGAACCTCAACATTCAGATGTCAAGACCTGTATACTTACCACTGCTACTGTGAAGACTTATTATTATGCCCTTAGGAAACAATGATTAAAAAACACAATATAATGTGGAAACATCCCCAGGAGTGCATAAGGCCTGTCTATATCCGGAATGTGTGTGTTGCTCTTCAGGTTTCTGTATATTAATTAGGGAAAGAAGAGTAATGAGCACAGCTACAGCAAGCAGAGGCAGAATGGCTCTGGGTCCAGGCTGAAAGAGGACTTTGGAGAAGAAGAGTTACTTGAGGAGAAACACTTGGAAGAATAAGGATCTAGGACAGTGGAACCAGCCTACAGTGGTGTAAAGTCATATAGTAATCACAGAACATATGGTGGGGTGAAGATTTAAGTTTGAATCCTGGCTCATGCATGGACTAGTTATACAAGCTTACGTTTTTGGTTTTATTGCTATGTCACACACCATCCTAAAACTTCATAATATCAATGATGTTTACACTGCTTGTGAATCTGCAATTAGGTCAGGACTTAGCAGGATCAGCTTGTCTCTGCTATGCCACCATAAACTGGGGTTGCTTGACTTTGGGGGCTGGAATCATTGGAAGGCTTAGCACTTGGTGTAGGTTGTTGGCTGGGATCTTAGCCAGAGCTATTGGACAGAATGTCCACATGTGACCTCTCCACATACCCTGAGCTTCCTCACAATATGGTTATGCGCTCTGGTGGTAAATATTCCTAAAGAAAGAGAAAGAGCTAGATATAACAATGTCACCTTTTATTAAAACAACCTGAGAAGTCATGTAGCATCACCTCCACAACATTCTACCTCTTGAGGCAATCACAAAATCCTGCCAAGTTTATAGGGGAGAAAAAAATGGACTTCCCCTCTGGGTAGGAGAAAGGCAAGACTCTGGATGAGCCACGCAACAGGAAATATTGCTAAGACCATCTTTTGAAACTATAATCTGCCAAAGTCACTTGATTCTTTTGAGCCTCAGTTTCTTTATCCAAAGACTTAGTATAACAACATTTCACAGAGTTCTCATAAAGACTATAGATAATGGAGGTTATATGCTTACATGCAGTAGATGTTCAATACCAATTTCAGTCCAGGATGGAGGTTGAATGTGGGACAACAGAAATGATCTCTTCCTCCTTAGATAGCTGTTGATTCACCTGTACCAGGACAAGGAACAAAGCTTGTTAGAAATAGAATAAGACTAAATACCAAACCATACATCCTTCAGGCTCTTCCTAATTATTCGGGGAACATCTCACAAGGATCTTACCTTCAGGAGGTATCAGCTCAGTTCTGGAATGAAGACAGTTCCTTGCTCCCATTAGTAGTGTATTGATGTCAGGGCCTTTAGGCTGAATATAAACAATAAGTAACTAAATATGACTAGTTAAATAATGGGATTTAGAAGGAATCTTGATCTCATTTTTGGGTGTTTACTAATGTGAGGAGGAAAACTCTTTACAAAATGTTCTGACAGAAGGACAAGCTTCTGGTATTATTCCTAGAATCCAAAATTCTCCCTAAATAAGTTTTGAGCCTGGGATATTCATAATGGTTCACAGTAAACCAGTTTAAAATATTTAAAATATAAAAATGTGATCAGATTCACAATTTTCAAATGAGACAATCCATGGATTTTTAGACAAGTCCACAGTCTTTGGGGGTAACCCCATGAGTTACCAGTAGGGTGCTGAGGCAGTCCTAGACAAGGCCTCCCAAATGATTCAGTGGATGTGACAAAGCTACACTTCGGGGAAATTACCTCATTTTTAGCCCAAGTCCATGGTGCAGTTTCAGGGGAGGCTCCCTCTGTGGAGCAGCAGTTTGATCACTGATTCCAACTTCCCACTCCTTCTACAAGGATTGAGGAAGAAAAGCAAAACAAATGGGTTAAAATGCACTCTGTCTCAAGATACTATTTGTGAGGGGCCCCCCACAAAGAAGTTCTTCAAAAGGAAGAGATGAAAGAGGGTCCAGCTTTCTGCTGGCATTTGAGCTGGCATTTGCAGCATTACCGTATGACTTTGAGCAGGCCTGAGAAGCTCTTTGATTGCCAAAGAACAGTTGCACCTCTGTCAGAGCGGCCCTCATGACTCATGTGGCTCAGCAGCAAAGGAGGGATAAGAGCAGATGTGAGGGGGAAGATCACAGCAGAGGGAAAATAACTTGAATACAAACCAAAAGGCAAGGGGCGGGGGTTATGGGAGAACACAAAAGAAGGAGGAACGGGAAGAAAAGAGGAAAAGAAAGAAGGATTTGCTATACTATGGCAGACCACCTGTTGTCTTTAGAGACAACAGCACACCCAGGAGGGAATGAATTGTTCCTTCTTGATCATGAAATCGAACACTAATGCCCAGAAAATGTCTCAGTGGCAGCACACGCCTACTTTCTCTGTTGACTTCACACAGGAGAAGCTTGATCTATGTTGGAGAGCGTGGAGAACTTATGAACGTGTTTTTCTTTAAAATATCAACACTTTAATGGCACCTACTGTGTGCCAGGTATTCTGTTAAACTCTTTTTAATCTTCTCAACAATCTAAGAGACAAATAAGGAAACTGACATCCTTGTCTCTTTCAGGTAATCCTGGTTCTCACCACCTTCATCCCACACCACCACATTAGCAATTATTATTTTTTTAGCATTCACTGTATATCAGGTGGTTCTTACATCATCTTACATACTTCGTCCCATCAGTCCTTTCACCAACTTTATGATATGGGCACTATTTTTATTTCCATTTTTCAATGGAATGTAAATATCATTTTATAATGACTTAGAAAGGTTATCATACATAAAGTGACAAAGCTATCGAGTGGCAGATCCAAGGAAAAGACCCAGTTCAGCCTATCCTCAAAGCCAGGGCCCAAACCAGCATGACACACTCATTAGGCAATAAACACTCCTTGCTATTTCTCATGCATTAAGCATTGTGAGACACTCTGCTCCCAAGGAATTCACTCAGAACCATCATGTTCCGTGCTATTTCCACTCTCTGGTGGGCGCCTTACAAGGAGCCAGGCGCTGAGTCATAGAACAGTAGAGCTTCCCCTCACCACTCCACCCCCATCATACCCACACAGAAATCAAGGTCCGTGGTGTCAAAATCAGGATTCAAATCTTATGACTTCAGTCTACCACCCTCTTTCAGGAAATCCCTGGCTCAGAAAAATGGGTCTATATTAATCATGTCAAATTTTGCTGGATGAGTTTCCATCTTAACCAGACAACAAAGCACAGGACACAGGACTAGAATGTAAATTTCACATCCACTTTCATTGTTATCATGATCAGACACCTTCTTCTGTCCCATTTTCTGAGTAGTGTGAAAAGAGAGTCTGATTTTTTCCTCTATGGACAAGCTTCATGTTCTGAAATGCCTTCTGCAAACTCCAGAAATGGGCTTAATTTCATTAAAATTAATTCAGAATTGTCATAAAAATCTACTTCAAAATGTTTGTTACTTATTTCATTCTGAGGTAACAGACAACCAAAAAGCAAATCCAAGATGAAAGATGAATTTTTTTTAATAGCAGTCCCAAGTTTGGTCATGATCAATTGACAGTTCCCCTGAAATTGTATTCATTTGTTTATTAAAAACAAAACAAAATATTTACTTTGTAATATTTAGATCCTGTGTAGTGACAGGCAGCAAGAGACACACAAGGACAAGATGGGTTTCTGGCCCCAAAGGAGCTCCCTATATCACAGAGGGGACTGGCATGTCTACAAAGGAAATCCAACAGAGCATCCTTATAGCCAGTTAATCAAAGACCTTTACACAGAGAAACCCTAAGAACAGGGATGTGAACAAAGATGGAGTTCAAAGATCTCTTTCTAATTCCATCAGCTGGATAATAATCAAATGACCATTTACCAAAATGAGTTGAAATTGCAGAATCCCCTGATCTGTCTTCAGAATTAATGCTCAGATAATGAATGCCCAGTTCCTTCAGATGTTTAATTACTGAAGGGCCTTACTCTCAAAAGAGAGGCTATACAAACTCAGGAAGTGACATGGAATCTTAATGAGATGTGATCTTGAGAGGTCATATAATTAAGGCTCCATCTTCAGGCAAGACTCTTATTTTTAAAAACCTCAGGGAGAGAAACTTGACAACCTTCCTGTTGACAGTTTTGACAACCCTCAGATGGGTCCGCAGTGGTAGCTTTTAGAGTATGTCCTCCCGTCATGGCCTCCAGGGTCCTTTGCAGAGACTTGACAAGAGTGAGGCCTGTGTTTACCCTGCATCTGGAGCTGAGGTTCTTGGTCCCTTTGGTTCTGGAGGATGATCTGACCCAGCAACTGGAGGAACTGGAGACTGTGGGGCCAAAGGCAAGGTAGAGGGTACATTGTATGTGTCCCATGGGGAAGGGGAAATGGAGCTGGGCCCTGGGGCTCATGATAGTAGCTGAATCTTAACATTTAATAATAACTCACATCCGGATAAAGCTTTCACATTTACAAAGTTCTTTGACGTACACCATCATTTGGTTTCACAACAGCCTTATGATACAGATTGGTATCTCATTTCACTGAATAGAAAATGAGACAGGATTTAAGGTAGATAAATATGAGTCTACCATTACTACTCTACTACTGTTCCTGATAATAGTAGTAGTAGCAATAGTAGTAGTAGTAGTAGTAGTAGTATTAATTGCAAACATACATATGTTCCAGCCACTTTGCATGGAATATTTCATCTAATCTTCATAATGGCCTGGCAAGGTAATAATAATTTCTAAAATGCCCATTTTACAGAAGGTGAAACTAGGATCTTAAAATATTAGGTCTCACACTTAACAAGTGGTAATAGAATTCGAATCTAGGTAATTTGACATCTAAGACCATGTTCTTGCTATATCAATTAGCATTTTTTAAAATAACCATTTCTATGAGGAAGAGGATTCAAAACTCTGTTAAACCCTTGACCAAGTATTCCTGACATGCATTCTAACCAACCTCAACAGTGAAAAACCCCACATCTCCCAGTTCCTGGATAATGCCATCTCTACCCACCTGGTGAGCCCCCACTTGCCCTCTGGAATTCTATTATTCTTACTTTCTTATGCACTAGCAATTGGCTAGGTCAATAATGTCCCTCCCCATAAGCAGGATACAAAGATTTGAACTGAAAGCATAGGCTGCAATTCTCTTGCCTTGAGCAACAGGCAAGAGCCTCAAAGAATAATACAAGACCATTGGTAATCTTCTTTCCAAAACACTTTCCCACCTAAGATTCCTTTAAATGTTGAGTTTTGTAGAGGATATGCCTATTGAGACATGGAAAGGATAAACATTTGCCCAAAGTCACAAAGAAATTAGAGGCAAAGCAGGGACTTAACTCCAGTCTCCTGGCCCATTGACTCTGCAACATACTGGCCAACAGGTCAATTCAACAAGCACTCGGGGTGCTATGATCTCAGTGTTGTATTCAGTTACCCAAGGCTCACAAGGAGATCCATTTATTTATTCAAGAAACTCTTCCTGAGTACCTAGAAGGTGCGAGGGACTGCTGGCGCCACTAGAGGTATAAAGGAGACAAAGCCGTGCTGCTGCTTTCCTGAAGCTAGCATACTGGTGAGGGAAGAGAGACAACAAACATATAAACAAGAAAATAAATGTATACCCAATGCTAGAAGTGCAGGGAGAAAAGCAAAGCAGTGTGATAGGGATAGATGGTGATAGGGAGTATGAAAGTGGGGGTTACCACTTTATATGGGGTGATGGCTTGAATATAGGCTGAGACCTTGGGAAGTGAGGGATGAGCCATGCAGATCTACAGAGGAGCATCCCAGGTAAAGAGAGGAATGAGTGCAAGAGGCTGGAGGCAGGTGTGTGCTGGCATCTCTAACCAGCAGCAGAAAGGCTACTGTGATGGGAGTAAAGTGAGAAGGGAAAATATTTGTAGAAGATGAAATTAGTTAGAGAGGCCAGACCAGGTGGAGCCTTGCTGGCTCTTGCACAGACCTAGCCTTTACTCTGCATAACCTGAATAGCCAAAGGATGGTGAAACAGAAAACGACATGGCCTAATTGATACCCTAAGTCCTGGCTCTAGAGAGTCAACAGGTGGCTGATGGCCTGCCATTCAATTATCTCCTTCTCCCCCATCCAAATCCAAACTCCTCATTTCCTGCAGTATAGGCTATCCTGGATTCCCTAATCAAGTCCTGGCTCCAGGACATGATGGAGAAAGAAAAAAATCAATTCTATTTCTAACCTGAACAACTCTGGCTCCTAATTATAAGAACCAAAACTGGATACGATATTCTAGTCATGGCTTTACTATTCTTTAGAATTTCTAAGTATATCTGATATTGTGCTTTTCCTTTTTGGCAAAAACACTAGATTACAGTCTCATGCCTTGTTTGTTCATTATTTACCTTTAGCTCTTTTTTTATATAGTCACAATGGAGTGACCCATCTTGTATTTGCAGCCTGTCCCTATTAAAGTTTATTGTTCATTTATGACCACTTATACAACTAGCCAAGGTCTTGGTCTAAGTTGACTGATTTCTAGAACCATATCTGCAACCCCTAGCCTGGAGTCATCTGTGAAGTCTGTGGGTATGTGGACCTAATAAAGCAGCATAATTTTTAAAAACTGTATGGTAGATTAAAGATGACCACAAATTCTTTCCTCTTCCTTTCAGTGAGAGGTGAGTTTACTTCTCTTTTCCCTTGAATCTGGGCTGGCCCAGTGTCTCATTTTGTCCAATAGAATGCATGGAATACACCAGAAGTAATTTTCTGGGATTTCAAGCCCAAGCCTTAAACAAACTGTCAGCATCAGCTTTTTTTTTTTTTTTTTTTTTTTCTGAGTTGGCTATAAAGATAGTAGAGAGAATTGGGCTGGATTACTGAA